CTTCCAAGTGTTCCCTATTAAATGTATATAGTTACGTGACGTGTTACACTGCAAAGTATAGTAACACAGAAATGTAACAGTCGATTTTCTCAGCGGATAAAACGGGTACTATATTGTGAGGCGTAGTAATCTGAGGTGCGCTACGTCCGCGCACTAACTTCTCTCCGGAGACTTCTCTCTCGCTCACTTCCGTCAATAGAAGCAGCGTGACTTGTAATACACACAGTAGCAGCGAGAGAGAAGTCTCTGGAGAGAAGTTAGTGCGCGGACGTAGCGCTCCTAACTTCTCTGCGCACTAACTTCTCTCCAGAGACTTCTCTCTCGCTGCTACTGTGTGTATTACAAGTCACGCTGCTTCTATTGACGGAAGTGAGCGAGAGAGAAGTCTCCGGAGAGAAGTTAGTGCGCGGACGTAGCGCACCTCAGATTACTACGCCTCACAATATAGTACCCGTTTTATCCGCTGAGAAAATCGACTGTTACATTTCTGTGTTACTATACTTTGCAGTGTAACACGTCACGTAACTATATACATTTAATAGGGAACACTTGGAAGAGTTTGGTAGCTTCTAGCGGGAGCTACCTTTTGGGTACTATACAGTGACCAAAGGAGGCTGCATTTGTGCTCCCGTTTTTGCTCCGTTTGCATGACAGAGCGCACGGACTAAGATCACACAGGTACGTATTAACTAGTCTAAGGTAAGGTAAGAACATATGTCAGTATGTACAAACGGTGAACTATTCCTTTAAAGTTGATTTTGAATACTGTGAGCACCAATACTCCCACTTCCCATGCAGCATTCACGTATGTTTCCCTTTCCTCGTTTCAGTCTTGACACAGTGGCACAGTTTAGGGTGACTAAGCCCTTTACAGTTCCTATGATCCGAAGCTGCATGTAAGGACCTGCAGATAACTAACGCTAACAAGCTAATCAGGCTTTGAGGCGCAGGTGAATTACTCACGTCATGGGATGGCCAAGCAGGTCAAAACGGGTCTGGACATTTTGGCTGGATGTTCAACCTGTAAAGTCTTTCACCGAGATGTTTTTATAGTACTGTAGGCTGGTTTATGTGCTGTCCAGTGATGGTGGACCAGGCCAAAGCCAACAGGACATACTGAGGATTTGGTGTCTGCAGCTCATTGTGTTCAGCCTTTCGCCGGGCAACACAGAGCTTTCTCAGACTACAGTGTGTTATTCATTCTTGTGCCAGTCTAGACATTATGCCAACTTGCCAGTTTTAGTTAAATCATGACAAAAGAGCTTAGCAATTGAGCTTAATGTGGATTTGACTATGTTTAAAGTATTTGGTAGATCACCTTTGAGTCAATATATCTACTTTATGTAATCTTAATTGAACCTACCTCTTTGGGGCATCTCACTTGGTTTTAGGCACGTTTACCATCAAACTACATCTCAACCATTTAGTAAAGGCCTATAATTAAAGAAAAAACTGAAAAAATACATTGCTTTCTTCAAGGGGTGAATGTTTAAGGGTTAACTTTATAATCCAGTTGACATTCTGACTCAATATCCATCCAGATTTTATGCTACAACATTGTGTACTACTGGTATTTAGTTGCAAGAACTAACTTTTTGTAGTAAATGTTGTCTTCAAGGGACTGTAAGTGCCTCCCTTTCACTGCAGAATGATTGAACTCGTATGTGGGTCAGAACACACCCCTCTCCTGCTCCTCTCAGATTGGCTGTCTGTTTAAAACCTTCAGCATTTTGGCCTATGTTACTTTATTCATCTTGAAGGAAATTTATATGATGTTGGAACCTTTTGCTCCACGCTTCAAGTGAAGGTTGAAGGTGAAGGATATTGAGCATGAAAAAACATTACTTTTTAATCATTTCCATTTCATTAATTCTTGTATTGCCCTTAATCACAACAGTAGTTATCTCAGAGGACTTTACACAGCCGTTGAATTCGCCAACACAGATCAGAGAACCAAACCATTCAAGCACAAGCAATTGAATAAAAACACATGGGTATTGGTCCATAAGGGGCAGATAACTTTTCTATTGATGGTTTGATAAAAGGCCAGGTTTTGTATCAATATTTACTCTAAATAGTTTGGAAAAAAAAAAGTCTGTGGCATTGGAGTTTTGTTTTTTTACCAAATGTCTAATGCCTCAAGAGTTAATGCTAAGGGCTGTGTGGAAGTAAATTAGTGTGGGGGTAGTTGTACAATTGCTTCTTCAATATGTTTTTTGTCGTTGAGTCAATATTTGCATTGAGTCTTTTTACTTGTGTGCAAATTAACGTGAAGTGGAACAGTGTCTTGTGCTAAACCTGTACTTAGCACTAATGTTTCAAGTCTTGCGCTGGTAACTGTACCTACATTATGAAGACTTGTGAAACTTCAAATTCATCTAACGCATGTGTCCAGTTTTGTATGATTTATTTCCGTCTTGTATTGTATTATGCAACTTTGTCTCATCCGTAATTACAGAATTAGTTATGCCCAGTATATCCTCTTCTTCACACACTGTCAGAATGATTAATTAGGCATGAGAACCACTACGTAGTCCGAAGCTATGGATCTAAGTTTAGCGGCGGTCCTATACTGGCTCACCCTGCCTGGGTCTTGGGTGTCCTTCACCACCCTTGTCCCCAGAAATATTTTCTGCAGCATTTATCCCAGTGCGTTAACAACTTGGGGGACATAAGTATCAGTGTCAGCAGCAGGGGTTTAGAACAACACCCTTCAACTTTATGGACATTAGGACTAGTAATCAATGGTTATTTCGATAATCAATAAGTTGGTCGATTTATTCATTTTGATTAATCAATTTGTCAGTGAATATGGAATGGATTTTTTTTTAAATATATATTATAATATACATACAAACCTTGAGAAAGATGACATTGGGTAATTTGGGTTGTTTTATTAAAAATACATGGTAAATACCTATTAATTTCATTCTGCAGTCATTATAGAATTACCAGAGTCATAAAACCTCTTAATTTTTAAGTCTAATGTATGGTTTTAAGCAGTTAATTAATCCATAAATGACTTAACAAATAGTTCAATAATCAATGAGCTTGTCACAGCCCTAATGAATTTCAAGTTGACGTTCAATATCCATATAACGTCTATCTTATAGTTTATTAAAATGATATGAAGATTGTTACCCAAGCATTTACCTTGATAATGGGAATGATTGACAGCTGGGTAATTTTCACAGATGCAAATACAGAGTATTTGCGTCCTCGGCACTTCCTCTAACAGAGCGCTTATGCTTCTCCATGTGTCTGCACCTCCGGTTTCTCAATCGCATGACACTCATGGGTGAAGTCTTTGCACCTAAAGGACACTGGGAGATGGTTGGTTGTACGATGTCCTCCACAGTGTGTGGGGTTTCCCGGATCTATGAGCTCCTGTGTCTTTGCTTGTATTGCCTTAAGGAAGCTTTTACAACACTCTTTCATCTGCCGTCGTGTTTGGGCCTTTATGTCCTGTCCCAGAAGCAAGAGTGAAAGACGCTCTCTGAACTGCTTTTCTTTACTCTAGTCTTGTCTCTTCGGCCATTTGAGCATAATGGTTTTTAATCTTGCATCACAACTAATAATAGCACACAAATCCAGCTTCTTGAATCTTGACAATGATGATAGTACATTTGCATAAGATAAGACTTTATTGATCTAACATTGGAGAAATGTACATGTCACATTTGGCACGGATAGAATCACTCAGATTGTGCTAAAGGCAGAAGTGTGCAAACAAGTAGGGGTGGGAACCTAAGGGTACCTCACGATACGATACGATACAAAGCTCACGATAACGATGTTATCACGATAACGATATCACGATATGACGATATATTGGTCAGAAATATACAATATGCCAATTAATGGCATAAATAAAAGAAAAAATACACTTGATTTCATGATCAATGGAATGGAGATGCGTAATGTAGCCATATATTAAGTATTGATACTTATTTTTATTTTACTGTTAAAAAAATTATATATATATATATATAATATAAAAAAAATTCAAAATCGATATCGATTCTTGGCAAATGCATATTGATAATCAAATCGTGGGAGAAAGTATCGCAATATATCGATATATTGTCACACCCCTACAAACAAGGGTTAAATATATAGTCTGTGCATGTTATGGTTATGTTTATGACTGGAAAGTGGAAAAGTGAATTTGAGGCAGCTTCATGGAGTTGGGTACATTTATAATCACCCAATATCAGTGAGTCCCAATGTAGTATTCCTTGACAAATATTATTGGATTTTTGTCTGCACATAATTTAGATATCAATCCTGATAGCCAGACAGTTGATTATCTGGTTGTTGCCAGCTAAAATCCAATATTTAATCTATCTGCAAACTGTGCCATTTATAGTATGTATAGGTAAAGTTTCAGTACTTTGGCCAGTTTCCACTACTTTCCATTTATGGTTATTTCACAGAACTGATAAAAACTAACCCTGAACAAGCTATCTCTCCATTATCAGTAAACTGCGTGTCTGGTTGAGCCTTTACTTTTTCTTGTTGTGCCATGTATTATTTAGAACTGCGCTATCTTTTAAAGACCACATACATTATTCAAGTTTATTCAGATGCCTGCCTCTTTCTGCTTCCATAGGTTTCATTTAGCTGTTAGGGTCCAGTTTTTTGCTTATTCTTGTGTAGAAATTTAGCTTTTTCTTAATTCATTATTTAGAATCGACAGTGTAAATTGCATATTGTGCCACTGAGGTCTGATTTTTGACACAGTGATTTGGTTTCACAAATGGTGAATAGCCGATAGTGGGACTTTCAGCTCTATTTTATAGGTGGTAATGCTCGGCCTGTGCTCGAGGCACTCTCCCACTAAGGATCATCTCGCTCCATTACGTCAGTTAGAACATCAAAAGCATATAGGACATTCTTTGTTTTGTTTTATTACATAACTCCTCTCACATTCATCCGTGTACTTTAGATACTTAAGATCTGTGACCTCTTTTTTTGACTATGTTGTTCTTATGTTGTAGGAACCCCAGTCATCATGTGTATTGTTCGGAGCAGATCGTGTCTGGCTCGGGTCAGTCTGCTGGGAACACAGACCCGGACGCCCAAGAAAAGGATCAGGAGTTCACACAACAGAAGGTGAGTCGAGCCCAGCGCCGCTGCACACTCAGAGGCACAATGATAGTATTATTTATTTATGCCATTGTGAAGTGCTTTACTAATATGTTTTTCATTAATTATTAAGACTATGAAAGCCCACAGTGATTATAAGCACTGCTCTAAACATTGAAATATTTTGTTGCATTGTATTTTTATGCATTTTGTTTTTGTCACAACCTTGTAAGGGCTAAACCTACTCTGAAAAAAAGAAATTACCATTTTATACATCTTAAATTGTTCATAAAAGCACCTTCTATTGCAAACTTGTAATAATTATCAGTGTGAGTCAGTCTGCAACACTTTGGGCTGAGAGGTGATTTGCTGAACATGGATAGTCACCCCTAGTTCACTTATCCATCTTGTCAGACAGTTTTAAATGTGGTTTCACTTTAGGCTGTTACAAACAGGTACCCCGGCTGTGTGTTTTTTGCATATTTATAAAACCACATACATGACATGAATTACTTCAAAAATCTTCATATTGTATTTAACATGTCAGATTGTACAGAAAGCATTCTGCGTGGGAATATTAGACACACCGCACATGGTAAAGGACGTGGGACTTGGGTTATGTCCTATAGCCTAAAACTGGACTGGGGTGAGTCAGAAGTGCCCTTTTGACCTCGGTGGCATGGTCTAAGCACATGTAAAGAAGTAAGATGAATGGTCAGTGGCATTGTGAAGGAGTTAAAATATTTTAACAACTGAGTCACCATAATCAATATGCATGCTGTTAAATGCTGTCATTAGTGAGATTAGTGAACATGCAACTGGTCACAGACAAAAGACAAACTATCATGATTCATAGAGGAGCTGAAGATAAAGAGGTCAAAGTGCTTTCAACAGGTTCCAGCTCAGCACTGAAGAGGGGAAATTACCTAAAGTAGTGTGTTACCAATGTTTATTTGCACTTCACAAACAAAACATTGATTTTAAATGAGGGAAGATTCCAGTAAAATGTACCTTTTTTTTAGCAGTGGTGTCTGTATGAATATCAAGACTGAACATTTACACTCGCTGTTGAAAAATAATGCACACAATAATAAAAAAAAAATAATAAAAAATATCTAAAAATAATAATACACACTTTTATTATGTATTTTAAACATGTGATCGATTTTCTCCTTTCCCTTTTCGCAACACCCTGATAAACAAGCTCTCACAGGCCTTTCTCTTTAGCAGATCATGTTTACGAGCAGCAGATACTTCCTTCTTTCTCTACATTCGATTCAAAATGCACAACACGGCAGTGGTTCCTAACATTGGGGGGTTGCCAGACTAAAACTAGGGGTCGTGAGATAAGGTTTTAGGTTTTTTTAGACAATTTTTTTTAGAGAAATGAGGTCAGATGACACATCACATGACTCAAACAAGCAACAGTTAATGTAGCATATTTTTGTGCTTAAAATGTTTATTACTTTATTATTTATTTTTTTTATTTTAAGTCTGGTTAGTTCTTTTTTTATTTCATTAATAACAAAAAAAAACTTTGAGATTGATGGTTTTCATAAAGTAAATGGTGACTGTGAGAATTTGGTATGTTTTTACTTTTTCTTCTCTGCTGCTACTTCTGATACTTGACTTTAGTGATGCTTCAGTGATCTACATATTAGTACCAGGCCCTACATTCATTCACAGAGCAGAGAACTGTGGTCAGATGTTGTTTGTGAATGAGCTTGAAATGTGTTTGCATGGATGCAAGTGTCTAATGAAGGAAAATCTTTGTGCTACAAATGGGCCTGCCGAGGCAGTCGAACAGGCCGAGCAATCTGTCAGCAGTGTATAACACGCTCTTTGTCCACAAACAAAAGACTCTCTCAAACTTGTAGAACTTTATGCTGCCAACAAAAAGGTTTTTTTACTATATAAATGTAACATTGGGGTTTCAACTTAAGTTAGATCTTGTCTTAAATGTCATACGTGTCTTGTGTTTTGACTGATTTTAAAGGTGGAAGATGAAAGGACAATACACACATCATATGAAGTGGGACTGGAGATGGAGAGAGCAGCACTAGAGGCGCCATCAGAACATGAACAAACCCCGAGCGAGGTGAGGCGTATCAAAGACTTAATATATCTACTTATGCTTCATGTTCTTGCCTCTCATGTGAAATAGATTCCAGTTGAGATAAATAAAGTAAGATTTGTATGCAAGTCTAACAGTAGCCTGGGAATACCCATGCTGCTATGTGCACAAATGTATGCCAACGCTTACATGACAGAACGTGGAGGGACAGCAGGACGATGACGCACTATTCGACAGACGGATGCTTGTAGTTTATTACAGATCCAACATGCATCTATCTCCTGTTTTTAACTTGCGCAAATGGCAGTAACCACTCGACTACAATGTGTAACATTATTAGTATTTTTCACCGCTTTCCTTCTTGACAAATATTTTTCACGCGGCTTTAGGGTTGGATTGATATAGTAGGGGCATTTTTGCAGATGCATATGAATACATTTTATGGATGGAAATGGATTGTTCCCAGACAACATGTCAGCCAACATTTAAAATGAAATATTAAGCATGATGCATTACATACTTCATATTCATATTGTTTAATACATGTTGTGCTTCCTCCAGAATGTGAATATTGGAGTAGAGTTGGAGGAGGCCAAGTCTGAACCAGAGGTAGACCCTCAACCTATCGCTGCTGACCATGAACCTGTACCAGACCCCCAGAACAATCCAGCTCCAGGGTCTGTGGTCCAGGAAGAGCCTGAGGAGGTCCCGGCACCCCCCACTGCAGATCCAGGCCTGGTTCCTGTCCACGTGCTCCCAGAAGCTCCTGCATCAGAGAGTGACGGTGACAGTGAGCTCAAAGACCTCCCTGGCCCGGACACGCCCCTGAGCACCCCCCAGAGCCCACCCCCACATGAAGCTGAAAACACTGCTACCTCAGAGACCATCAGCCCGCCTCCACCTGCCAGGTAAGACCACAGCATCCATCAGGAAATCAAAACTTCATTCTGTTTATTTCCTTTGGTTAAACCTAATTTGCAATTTCCATCTCTCCATAATAAATGTGTGTTTGTGTGTGTTTCTTTTGTTTTGTTTAGATGTATTTTTTGTTCACATATTGATAATATGTGATATTGTGATTGTCCTTTTCTATATTGTATTGTTTACCTTTCTGTTCTGGGGGGGGGGGCTTGGTGGCTTTTCGGCTTGCCCTGCACTATTGCATTGGAAAAGTCGGAATAACTTGCTTACCCGACCTGGAAAAAATTGACCAAATGGACATCTGGTCATCTGATGGAATCATCATCTGGAAGATCATCTTGGGGACTCAACGTAAATTTGTTGTAAAAATGAGAAGAAGCGGACATTTTATGGACATTTTATGGACAATCTACATACAAGGACACATTCAGCTTTGCCTACATGGCCATTCTACCCTTTTCTTTGTCTCCTCTTTCTTTCTTCCTTCTCCTAAATCTCCACTCCCCCCAACTCACTTGCCCGCTCAAATGTGCAGGTGTGGTAAATGCCATGTCCTTTCTTTCTCTCAGTGCAGAGCGGGTTGCCAGTGAAGGAGATGATCTCCCAGTAGACAGCTTTGTGTTTGCAGATCTCTCTGAATCACAGTGCAAGGTCATTGCCCCCAAACTGGCAACCTGTGAAAACCTCCCTTTTGGCAGCCCTACCCTCAGGTGAGTATCTTAACACCAGGAAAAGCCAATCAAAAGTACAGAGGTAAATGAAAGGTAAATCCAAGCAACAACTATTCTCAGATTGCATCAACCAGCCTTGTTTGTCAATTACCGTTCATCATTTTTAATTTGTCTCCATAATTGTATTTGTTCCAACTCAAGATCATAAATATATCTTAATGTCATGCTCTTTCTCTGTACAGTGTTGATGAAGCTGGATTAGAAGACGACCATGAGCAGACGTCGGAGACCGAATCTGAGCTGCCGCCTGCTCCACAGCCAGAGGAGGCAGAACCACAGCTGGAGTCCTCCACAGACATCCCAGACCACAAGCTGGAGGCCAACACATCACAACCCGCCACACAACAGAAGGTCTGCATGTATAAATGCTTGCACATTGGGCAATTGTAACAAAAGCCAGAGCAGTTCTGGCTAAATTGCATATTTTTTAGGTTGGAGATGCCAGTGTTGCCAAGGAAACGGATCCCTCTGTGCCCACCAAAGAAGACATCCCGACATTTGACGAGTGGAAGAAACAGGTCATGGAAGTAGAGAAGGAAAAAAGTAAGGACTCTTGTAACCAATGACCTCGATGAGGAAATTGCACAGGATGTGTTACTAAACATTTAAACTTTGAATCTCTCCTCAGGTCAGTCTCTTCATACATCGACCAGTAGCGGTTCTCACCCAGTGAAGAAAGTGCAAAGCAAATTTAAGAATAATTATGCCTCTGTGGAGTGTGGTGCCAAGATCCTTTCTGCAAACATTGAGGCCAAGGTTGGTATAATTATCACATGACAATTATGGTCATTATTGCATGAAATATGAGGTTAGCTTGCGGACGGTATTGACAGATTTACGATTTTTATATTTTTATCATTTAGAGCACTTCAGCTATTCTCAAAGAGAATATGGATCTGTACATGCTTAACCCCTGCAGCACTAAAATATGGTAAGTATGAAGTACGTTCTTCTTATCAACCATGGAATTGGAGTTTTCATGTGCCTTTTCCTGTTACAGGTTTGTGATTGAGCTCTGTGAGCCCATTCAAGTCAAACAACTGGACATCGCCAACTTTGAGCTTTTTTCCTCGACCCCTAAAGACTTCCTGGTTTCCCTCAGTGACCGGTACTACTGCGCCTCATTAAAATGATTAGATTATATTCAGCTCAAAGGGGCACAGTCTTTTTATATTAACTTGACATTTCTATGTGTGCAGATATCCTACCAACAAGTGGGTGAAGCTCGGCACTTTCCACGCTCACGACAAGCGCACAGTCCAGAGTTTCCCTTTAGATGAGCAACTTTATGCAAAATATGTGAAGGTAAAACTAACTCCTCTCTATAGTGTCCAACAACAGCCGTCTTTTTTTGTAGCCGTGCGTCACAGAGGGACCCACTTGTGACTTCACGGAGAGTTATGCTCAGCCTCAAACCATTTCTCTTTTGGAGCCGACTTGACGGACTGTTTTTAAGATTCTTCATTTAAGCGTTTAATTACTGTCTTCGAATCAGCAACAAAGTTTTCCTATTTATTCGGCTTGAACCTCCTTCACCTCTTTTATGTATCGAGCTCAAATGTTGCTGTCCTTTTCTAAACTACTGTTCGCTTCAGACTGGCTCACTCGGTTTATTATCATTTATAGACAATATTTTTGCGTAATTATGAAATGCCATAATTACATTGAAGTGTGTTTTGACTTTTCCTGTCATAGTTTACTTCTGAAACATACATTTGCATAATGAATCACAATTGATGAATGTTCTTTTCTTGTAGATCTAAAATTTGATCTTTACTGATTTCTGTTTTCTCTTGCCTCCTGTCCCTCTCCTGTCTCCTTTTTGTTGCCTCAGATGTTCATCAAGTACATAAAGGTTAGCACTCTTCTTTCTGTCAGAGGGCTTCCAGAAACGTATTCTAAATGGACAAGTTATTCATTCTTAATGCATGAAGAAACTTATTAACAAAAAGACAATTATTAACAAAGTTTTGCCACTCAGCAATTTTCACATGTGGTGGATTGTGGGTTAAGCACAGTGTGTATGTTATCTTCATTGGGAAATATTTTTGGGAGTGGAACTGCTGGCACATATTACTGACTTAGAACTGTTGCATATATCGGATTAGTACACACTTTAAAATATGTATAGATTTGTTTTATTGTGAAGGAACTAAATTGTGTTATTGTATAGTTTTTTGGTTAAAATGCTTCTACTGTAACGTTAAAAGTACTATACATATTTTGCCTGTGTGCTAAATCTATAAATGCATTTGAAACGGGTGACCACATTTTCCACACTATTATTTCTATCGATTTGTGTTTTGGATTAATGTGGTCCATACGTTTTTGACCTTTTGTAGGTGGAACTTCTCTCTCATTTTGGATCTGAACACTTCTGCCCTCTCAGCCTCTTTCGGTAAGTTTCGATTGTCTCTCCCTTTTTCTTCATGCCGTGTTCAGTGATATAAAGTGAAACATTGCTTCATAATTTACATGATTGATGTACCGCAAACTGTTGGGACACGTTTGCCTAAAGCACTTTATATACAGGCTTCTCTGTGTTTGTACAGTGTTGGAATAGTTTACATCAGTCTACTGTCAGAGGAGTTAGGAATGTGCCAGATAAACTAGTGTTGAAGTGCAACAGGCTCTGAAAACGCGGATTAGTGTGGATTAGTTACAATTAGTACATTAACATTTAGTCAATGAATTTAATTAGGCTTGTTTTATCATTATCTGACTTGAATATAATATTTAGCTTTTTATTTAATTCAAAATTAGTTAAAATTTGCACTAGATTTTACGTTTTTTTTACTGTGTCATTAAGAGACTAGCCAAAACTGTTCAATATTCATTTGGGACAGAGAAATGATCGATTTCACGCTGGTCATGGGTTGCTAAAAGCCCCCTCTTTTTTTCTCTCTCATTCCAAATAAGATTTCTTTTAATTGGCAAATCTTGTTTGTGGCATTCTCCCACAGTACATTTTGCTTATGGCCCCAAGATGAAAGTTCTGGAACCGTCACTCTCATAGCATAGACTGTTTATTGATGGACAATGTTAACCCACTAACTCACTGAAGCCTTTATGGGGAAGTGCTCATGGAAGTTTTGCTCTAACTCGTTTTGGTTCCTTTTGACTTGAAATTAAAGTAAACTCTTCTAGCTCATTAACAGTTTGTGCCATACTACTTCACGCTCTGCGATACCTGGTACATGCTTTTATTGTCTTTGTAAATCCAAATAACAACAAACCGAGACCGGCACCGCTCCTGATTTCAGCAAATTTGCACACATTTTGGCTCCACAATCCCGCTCACATAACCTGTTAGAGTTGGCTCTGATTGGCATCTTCCACAGTAAGGCAAACACTATGGGCGACGTCAGTTCACTCATCTACGATCTACGATGTTCTCTTGGGGGAACGGGGCTTTCTGCCCCCCTAAACAAAACAAACTGCTCTATACAACTGTACAACTTGGCCATTTCTTTTAAACCTGCAGAAACAAAAGACAGACCTCAGTAATATGGTGTTTTTGTAGGGTATTTGGTACCAGCATGGTGGAGGAGTATGAAGAGATTGCTGATTCACAGGACCTATCTGAAAGAGTAGATTTTCCAGATGAAGACTATGGTGAGAAAAGTTTATGTCAAATAAATGAGCACTGTGTTGTATGTTTCAATAGAAGCATGGGTTGTCTTGTAAATGGTTTTCATGTCTCGTACATCAATGTCAAAGTGCCTTTATGCATCAATTGGAAGAACAATGCATGCACAGTCTATCTCCCCTGCAGATCCAGTGGAGTCATGTTTCAGTTGCTGCCCAGGGCCAGGGTTGACTATAAATACTTGCTCCACCATTACCCTTTTCTCCTTGTTTCCTGTATAATTCTGCATTTATTACACAAACAAAAACATGATTTAATACATTTTTAATTGACATAATTTCCCTTTGTGTATTTTGTTTTATCAGATTATCCTCCAGGCTATCAACCATCAGAGGACAAAGACTCTAAGAATCTTTTGGGATCAGCTACCAGTATGTAGACAAGCATGCGACACATGCAAAGTCATAAACATAACCACAATTGTAGTTTACACAACTTTGTCATATGCCTTGGCCTTACATAACAGAACATTGTGCAACGGCAAGATGATTTAAATACTCATTATCTGTAGTAAAAAAAAAAAAAGCTGCCTGTGGTTGTCACTTCAAATTCTCATTTAATTCCCAAATGAGTCAACGCTACGAAGAAAGCATTTGAATACAGCGCCATTGTTTATCAAATCCACTCTCATATTGGTTCTATCACCCTCAGTCAGCCAATCAGCCGAGACACACAGAGACAGGGCTTATTCTTTCCAGTTCTGCAAGGAAAGACAACGCATTTATAATGAAGTTTGGTACACCACCTTTAACTCCAAAAATGTATATATCATCATTTTAAACGCAGAGACATTTCATTTTTTTTTCATTTTGTTTATTTCTTTCGAGCCCATAACATTACATATATTTGTTTACACAACAAGCATCCCACAACATAGCACAAGCATCACAGCGTAGATTTTGTTACTCTGTGATGGTTGTCTTAAAAAAATATGCTTGATAACCACTAAAAAGAACAGTAGTGATAAATCTAACAAGCACGCACACAGTGGCGAGTGCAAGGAATTGACTTAAAATTTACTTCATTGTAGAAAAAACTACGGACACAAGGATGGCACACAACCTGCAATTATACCAACACAACAAATGTCAAATACTATTGTATTCTTTTATAGATGCCATTTTAAACATGGTGAACAACATTGCTGCTAACGTGCTGGGTGGAGGACCAGAGATGGAGGGTGGAGCAGAAAAGGGTAGGTTTCTCATGATACAATAAAAACAAAAAATATGCCACGAGTATACCCTGGCATTGATCCAGTTTGCAATGAGTCTATTTTAATTCATTCTTTTATACGGTAAGGAATTCCTAGGCCTTGTCGCGTATTATTAGAGCCAAGCCTTTTACGTACATGAAAAAACTCTGACGTTTCTGAGTATCTTTGTCACCATTACACACAGTAAATACACTTGGTGACATCAAACAGGATTCATGGTTAAAAAGTGAAAGCTATTTTCTAGGTATCAACATAAAGTGTAAGGTCTTGTAACAACTCGTTCTAAAACTGATGCCAGATTTGGATGTACTGTATTTCCCAAGTGCATTCTCCTGTTCCACATTATACATTATTGAGAAAAACGGATTGTAGCTAGTCCAATGTGAAACTATCTTGAATGCTTTTTAAAACCTCCTCTGCACATAAGGTTTAGATTATCCAGCTCTGAATGTAGGTCATTTTTTTCCCTTTAAAATGTTTGCATACTCACAGTCAAACCCCAGAGCCATACGTACTACACAGACATTCTGAGAAAGCATGATGTTTTTGTGAATCTTGGCAGGCGCAGCCCGTCCTGGGGTTTGGTGGTGATGAAAAAAAAAAGTTACCTCACAGGCACTCTGTTGAGGGACGAAGGGGGTGAACTGAAGTAAAGAAATCGGTTCAAACTGGATCAGACTGGTTTTAGTTTAGTTTTCCCATATCTAAACATGGGGTTCCAAGTATCCATTATAACCTACCTCCTGTAGCTACTTGAGATTAGAAAAGTATGTTGTCTTGTCTGTTTTATGATTTAACTTGATATGTTTTAAGTTAAAGAGAAGCCAAATGTAACTTTTGTATAATTGTGTTGCTTGTTCTGTGTATTTGGCTAATGATATTTATATCATTTTCAGGTAATGCTTCGATTGAGACACTGGCTGAAGCTGATAGTAAAGAAGATGCCTCTCAACCAATTGAAAGCATCCAACCCTCTGCAATGTACGTTCTCATAATTATTATAACATGTTAATTAGGGCTCGACGATTCTGGCAAAAAATCTAGTTGGAATATTTCTGACCGGCATTACAATTACAATGTAATATTTGATATTTTGTATCTTTTTAAATAAGTCTATTTTCTTAAAATGACAACTTCAAGAGATGTGAAGCAATTACCTATTATGCAATTCCCACACATTTCACTTCTCATTGTACTACCATTCTTTTCTAATAGAAAAATCAGATTCACTGCAAAAATGATGAATATTCATATAATCGCTTGAATTTGGTAGTTTTTATATGTTCGACAGTTTAGCCTTATTCAAATTATGATAAAGGATGAGGGACGGATATAATCATAACTGATATAATACATGGTTTTTGCAAGACAAGAGAAATGTGGTTTCATGGCCCTTTTATTGACCTTTCATTGCAGTTAATCACGCAGCCCTAAAGTGAACTCATTCATGACCAATCGCTCTCAAAACAAACAAAGTGACTTCTTTTTATTTCTAGTGTGTATCCTGAACACTCTGACCACGCCGAGGAAGAGGCGACTCAGTCCTCCACTCCCCCGCTGGCCCCTCCAGAGCCCACGGAGGAGAGGCAGATCGTAACTCTCGTGGAGGAAGAGGAGGAGGAGGAGGAGGAAGAGCCACAGAGATCCACCGTGACGCTGATGGAGGAGGAGACTGAGGAAGAGGAGGAGGCGAGGAAGGAGCAGGGCAGGAAGGAAGCTGATCGCAACCAGTGGGAGAGCCAGGCCTACTGTCCCTTCTCCTCCTTCACCTCCCTCTCTCTGTCGTGTATGGCCACGCTGCCAGAGCTGCTGCACCGCTGGTGTTCGGCCCGAATGGCAAAAGAGAGACTCCGCAGCGTGCGCCGACGAAACCACGCGCAAACTCCCAGCTCTTCTTCCCTCGGAAACACCCCCGCCATCGCCCCCTCCCCCAGCCCTTCGCAAGAGATCCTCCCGGTCACCGATATCATCCCAGAGCCGGAGATACAAGAAAGCAGAGGTGCGAACGACGGGCTGGCGGCGGAAACCAACGGCACGCTCACCTCAGATCTCAACCTCCTCCTCGAACCCAGTCAGACCTCTTCCATTCCGCCGCACAGTTTTTCAGACAGTCACGGCCAAAACTCACGCCCCACCCCCACCAACGAGGATAAGCTGCTACCGCCGGTCAAGGACTCCGCAATGGATTCTCTCCCCACCGCCCCCCTCCAGGCTGCGTCCATCCCAGAGACGCAGCAGCAGGCCAGCAGAGCCACCCCAACTCCCGTTCTCAACTCCACGCCTCTTTCGGTGTCATCAGCACCGCCCTTGTCGGCTTTCGTGCCTTCGGTGAAAGAGCAGCCGGTGCAGCCTTTGCCCACTGCGTCACACCCCGAGGACATGATCGCTCCTCCCACTGAACTACCCGCTCCCGCTCTCACGGCAGACCCAGACGCAGACACCACAGACCAGTCCTCTCAGAGCCAAGGGGAGCACCCAGACTCGATGCATTTAGAAGGACATCACGGCGAACAAGCAGCCGAGGATGAGTTGCTGAGTGGAAACGGCCACCGGACTGCCACCGACTTCTACGCAGAGTTGCAGAACGGAGGCGATTATAACGGTGGGACGGTGAGCGGAACTGGAGGAGCGGTTCACGGTACCAGTCAAAAAGAAAGCGTCTTTATGAGGCTCAATAACCGCATCAAAGCTCTGGAGATGAACATGAGTTTATCCAGCAGATACTTGGAGGAGCTCAGTCAAAGGTAAAATATATGGTGCTTTTATTATTGTAGTACTGGGTGTGTTTCTTATTCATACTAATTTTATTTCTGTACATTTAAAGATATCGTAAACAGATGGAAGAAATGCAAAGAGCTTTCAATAAGACTATCATCAAACTGCAGAACACTTCACGTATAGCAGAAGAGCAGGTTGGTAGTTTACTGTTTCACTGACCTCAAATGAAATGATTGTAAAAATGGTTTTGGAGTTTTTAAACTGTTTGATTGTCACCACCAGGATCAGAAGCAGACTGAGTCTATCCAGATTCTGCAGAACCAACTAGAAAATGTGACTAAACTCATGCTCAACCTGACGACCACTGTCAGTCTTCTGCAGAGAGAGGTAACACATACAAGCACAAACAGGTTAAAGCTGGGGTACCTAGCTTTATTTTTACAAAGTAGCACATGTAGTTTGTCCCAACAGAGAGTCTTGTTAAAGAAGAATGTTGTGAACAAATCAGACCACAACATGCTTTCGATCATCAGATTATAAAACTATCAATCTTTTAAATATTTGCCCTGTAAATCACTATTTTACTCTTTATGCTGAGAGCAGACTGGATTAGGGTGAGGGTGGTTTCGTCTCTTCTTTTTCACTTTTCTGTCTGACAAACATAATCTAAAGATGTGACGGAGGTCACAAATACATGTGAGTACTATTGATTGAAACTGTTTTAGAGCAAGGAACTAACATGGATTTGATTAAATAGTTCTTTTTTAAGTTGGGTACCCCAGCTTTACTGTTTTTATATTGTTCCATTGAAATGTGCTGAAAATAATTGCTTTCATTTGCTTCCAGGTGTCAGACCGACAGAGTTACCTGGTGGTGTCTCTGGTTCTGTGTTTGTTTCTGGGGCTTCTGTTGTGTCTGCAGTGCTGCAGAGGCTCTTCTCCAAACCCCAACAGCAGCACTGTGGACAGGCCCAAGAGCAACCACTACCCCAGCCCCAAGAGGTAAGCTTCCTCACACGCCTGCTACAAACACTGAGTGTTAAAAACGTAGTCAGTGATGTAAACCGATTATTTAATAAGGTTCAGAATGTGTGTAGTGTAGTTACTGTATATATGGCTTTCAGGGTTCTCACCAGCGCTGTTGTTGTTTATCCCAAGTTTCTCTGATCAATTGACCACTTTTCTAATTATCAACGATGTTAATAACAGTCACATCGAGGCTCCTCCTCCACTATTCTCATTTTGCATTTTGAGCCGCGTCACTGCACGCCCCTGAGTGTGGAATGTGGGCCATGCTACCAGGGCTGACGGAACTTTAGCCCAGTGCTCACGGCTGCTAATGTCAAAATCACTCTTGCTCTGCTCGCCCTACGAAGCAAAAACATCCTGATGAGAATCCTGGTTACTACTTCATGGTGCATAAGTGAGAATCAGGAGAAGTAGACAGAGAAGAAACCTTTTGAGGTGTTTGTGATATAATGAACTTGTTTAAATTCCTAAATATGTTCTCATTGCCAGGTGCTTTTCCTCCTATGATGACATGAGTATAAAACGGAGAGTGACTTGTCCACTTGTCCGATCAAAGTCGTTTCACTTATCCACAACAGAAGGTACAAACTGGAACCATTCAAACCTTATGCAACCTGACTTTTCCTTCTGTCTTTTCCCTGTTTGCACTACATTCTGTTTATTCTTCCACTTGTTGTTAGAGATTTCTTTTTCCTTATCTTTTTTTTTGGAAAGTAGTATGTATGTCATTACAGTATTTAGAGTAAGGAGGTTATTCTACAAAAAAACTAATTAAACTGATAAAGCTGAAACTCTCCCTACTCTCCATTATTTATCAGCATGGTGTGTGCCTCTGTGAGTTTGTCCTTCAGACTGAATGGCTGTCATTGCCAGATTGTGACCACATGGGCCCTTATAAGGAGCATAATAATAGCGCTCAGAGCTTTCCAGGTCTGTAGCAGACGTTCGCAAGTAGTCTTTAAAGAAAAGTGTGTTTTTTGTCTTGTTTATAACTGGTATAATTACTGGGAGCTTACTATTTGCAAAATCCCTTCATGCTTGTGTGTTCTTCTGTTTCTCCATTTCATCATTAACCTGCCCCTCTCTGCCCTCCCCAGTAGGTCCAGATGACTTGTACATAGTTGAACCTCTAAGGTTTTCTCCAGAGAAAAAGGTACAGTGCTTACTGCTGCTGTTGAACATTGCCTCGTGTTTTCATTTAATAGAACTTTGATTTTTGACAAAAACCTGTAAGTAAGGCAAAGCTTGTTCATTGTTTGTGAGGGTTTTGCTGATCAAACAAAAGTTCTGACTATGTACAACCGAGGCATGTTACTCTTGTCAGTCCTACCAGTCTTGACACGTACTCTAATTCTGTATCCTGTAAAAGTTGTTAAGACGATACAAGGAAAAGCAGACAAAATATAAAATAATTTTTATTTTATTTTATTTTTATTTTTTTACAGAAAAAGCGAAACAAGACCAAGTCTTTGGACAAAGTGGAGACACTAAATGCAGATCCTCCTGTCCCTCTGACTAATGGAATTATTAGCTGTAATGGCTTTCAACCAGCTCTACCTGCCCCTGTGGCGCCTCCTGCTCTTCCTGCGCCGCCCCCTCCCCCTCTGGCACTGCCCCCCTCAATGGAGGAGGTCCTGTTACTGCCCCTGTGTCCCACCACTGAGAGCCCGTCTGAGAGCAGCAGCTGCAGCTCGTCCCAGTCAGGCGAGTCCTACACCAGTCGTCTGCCCCCTCCCTCCCCTGTGCTGCCCCCTAATGGCCTCTGTAATGGCCACAGCCTTCCCTTCTCCCTTCAGCAGCCCCTTAAGACTCGGCAGGAGAAGCGCTCATTGAAAAGGCAAAAATCCAAGCAAACTGAGCTTCCTTTTCCATCATCACTGCCCCGTCTGCAGACTCTCATGAAAGGAAACAAGGACATTAGTGTCGGGACCATCGGAGTAGCGGCTGTCACAGGACGTGTCTGAGACCTCTTCACACATTCTTTAGATGAAAATACAAACACTGTACGGTAGCAGTCAGGAGACAAAGATCTGAGTGCAACCAAAGACCCACAGCTCCCACAGACATCAGACAAAACTGTGGCAACATTATTTTGGCCAAATTATGTCAGTGGTTACGTGCCTTTATATCTACCCAGTCTTTTTAAAGCTGAAACATGGAATAAGTGGTGGGGAGAACATGTGGTCAGACCATTGGCATCCGCAAAAGCTAAATATGAGGGGCTCTGCACACAGATATGTCATTCCTTCATACATCGGGGGGTTTAGAAGCAATGATCTTTTTAGATGAAATGTGTCGTACAGTTGCATGGCGCTGAACTTGTGAAACAACTCTTCTCTTTCTGGCTCTTTCTTTATTTTAGTGTTGCCTCCTGGCTCTGCTCCAGGGAGGTATGGGACCACAGTGTCATGTCTCTCTCTCTTTCAGTCTTGTTCAAACCAACCATTAGAGCTAAATGAAGAAAATAATCTGTGTGTGAATGTCTTTGCACTTGTAGTTTAGCTCAGCAGCGGTTAGCACGGTTATGTAGTTGAGATAATTATTCACTATAAAGGAAGGCAAAGTATAATTGTTTCTATTTTCCTTTTCTAAGTCATTGTTACTTGGGTGAAATGAAATGTGATCGCACACTATTACAGCACTTAAATAATAATGTAATGTTTTTAACCACAGAAAAGCTACTGGGACCCAGCAGATGAGCTCATGAGACCAGTTATTTATTTATTTATTTGAAATAGAGGTATATACTATATATATATATATATAGTTTATATACACATATATACACATAAAATAGGCACTGGCTTGCCAGTCTCCCAGATCTGCCGGGTCACAGTAGTTTAACAGTATGCATAACAGTATATGGTACTTGGACAATGTGAAGGTGAGTGGTTTGTTAACCTTGCTGTCTCTTGACTACAGAAGAAAATGTGTGTGTGTCATTTAAAATCTGTAGTCCTTGGCATTTTTACTGTAACATTAGTTTAATACAGTAAGGTGACCCTAGGAGTACTACTTTATATAATAATTGTACATTTTTTTTCTCTTTGTAAATTGATTTTCTGATTGCTCGTTTTGGTTGGATGCAATTCTCTATTGTGCAGACTTTTTCTTTGGCCTCTAGTACTCTTCTGGTCTTTTATCATCTTTATTCTTTTAGACATATCTTCATGTACCTATCAATCACAGCTAAAGTCCATTGCATGACGTTTTCCATAACTGTGAAACATTTTAACCAATGTGCTTTTAAAACCACTGTTTTAGCTTCTGACTCCTCTAAACTCTATTGCCCTTCACTTATGCGCCTGCCCCACCTCAAATGAAATGCTACGTTCTTAGACAAAGGGAAAGATTGAGATTAATTAGGAACAATATTAACATGATTTTATGACCTTAAACACAAATGTTTTACTTGTTGATGATCTTATTTTTGTATGTTCAAGATTGCTTGTCTGAGGAATGTGTGTCACTGTGTGTGTGTTTATGTCAAGAGAAGGACTACTCAATTGTTCTCAATTGGAAAAACCTTTTTGGAGAGGGATTTTAGGAGCTCTTTGCCACTTTGTATGACTCCCCATGCCTTTTTTATTTTGTTTTAAAAACTCAAGTGCTAAAATTTCTGTCTGTGATTTCAGTCTTCTTATGTTTGCATTTTATTTCTATTTTTTAAGAGCGGCACAGTATTTGAGCACGAGTGAGTTACTACGAAAAATGTAGTGCCATTATAAACTGTGAATTTCTCAATAAAAACCTTTTTGTGTTGTCCTTCTAGTCTTGTCCCTTATTTAAAAAGCTGGAAAGTAGGGAACTCATTTTGTAACCTTCAAAAATAATGTTAGATATTTTCTTGGTCATGTATCAAAGTTAGTTTCAGTTGATAAAGGTGTCCTAAACTGCATTCAGACCTTTTAAAGCATGGATATGATGTATTGTAGTGGCCCCATAAACAGTTTATTATGAATACGGTCCACTACATCAAATCAACGTATAATAACAATAAAACAATTGAAGTGGGTTTACTTCAACAATACTTTATTTTTTAAATCCAAATTATTGAAATTGCAAGACTTGTTTAAACTACACTGTTCAGTTGATTTTAGAGCCAAAGTTTTAATTCACAAAGTCTACCAGCCAATTTTCAAAATCTAGTAAAAAAGAATGGGTATGATTTCAGAGGATGTTGTAACTTTAAACTTCCAGCAGTGAAAACCAGGAGAAGTTGGTGTGCGTCCATCTGTGAGGTGAAGCCTACATATTGAATGATTACTATCATTACTATTAATGAATAATACTTTTTGGGGGCCATTCCTAATCTGGCTCACACCGCACACCGCCCGTTGTACAAACTATATACTCTACTTCCAATCCACTGTCTGAGACTTTGTATTTCCCTGGCGGCCGCTATTTTAGCCAATGTTTTTAGCCCCCACTTTTTAATCCTACTATTATCTCCATGTTTTAGGGATAGGGTTATTAAAGCTTGTACACCTGCTTTTATTCCAGTCTTTATTTTTTTATACAGTGGTTTTAAATCAGGTCAAAAGAACTTGACACCTGGTGTGACATATGTATATAATCATGCTACAAAAAAAATGTCTTCCCCTTAATCCATTTCTGGGCCGGGGGGGTGGCAGTCAGAGCTGCACCCAGTGCACGTAGCACCAGCCCCTCACTGATCCTCCTGCAGGTGGTGAGTCCATAGGAGTCTTGATCTTTCAGCGGGGGCTTCAGGCAAAGTTGGGTCAAGTGTCTTGCCCAAGGACTCAACGACAGCAAACATCAGTGGGAGTTGTAAAGTAGGTCTCTGGTTGGCTCAAACCCACGACCTTCAGGCTCAAAGGTCAATGCTCTACCAACTGAGCCACTGTAGCCAAACTCACCTTTGGCCATGAGCTTTGGGGAATGACCAAAAGGATTAGATCGCAAATACAAGCGGTTGAAATTAATTTCCTCCACAGTGGGGTTGGACCTTATTATAATAGATCCATGGGTTTGACGCTAGAGATAGGAGCTCAGTCGCATGAGAGGAGCACAGAGCAGAGACCCTTCTTCTCCACCTTGAGAGGAGCCAGTTTAGGTGGCTCTGAAGCCACAAATAGGAGTAGGGCCTACTGCTAGTGATGTGCTGAGCGTACAGGTGTAACGCCGTGATACACTGTCTTGAAGAGATGCACTGCCTCAGCTGTTTATGATGTAATGCAAACCTGCGCATGCGCGTCTCACGGCAACCGAAGCATACCAAGATGGCGGACCGTGAATTGCTTTAAAAGTTGAAATACGAACGAATTAAGACACGAATGTCACTTTTAATGCAATTTGAGGCGAGATGTTGATGGTTCCGTTTTGTCACATGTGGGTTTTAAGAGTCAAAGTTTTGTGCAAAGTTTAGTTTAAGCAGTCAACTGCGCCTGTGAAACCACAAAGCTAATGTTTTCATAGCAGTCCGCGGCTGCTGACGTAGGCTGATGACGTAGGCTGATGACGCGTCCTGTGGCCACTCTACACTGGTCTGTCGGGTTGATAATGGAAATAATAAATTTCATTCAATACATGTATCGTACTGTATTTAATATGATTAACAATAGTGTGTTCAAACAAAATATTTAATTAGATTGATTTTTTTTCCCCATTTTCCATTATCAACCCGACAGACCAGTGTAGAGTGGCCACAGGACGCGTCATCAGCCTACGTCAGCAGCCGCGGACTGCTATGAAAACATTAGCTTTGTGGTTTCACAGGCGCAGTTGACTGCTTAAACTAAACTTTGCACGAAACATTGACTCTTAAAACCCACATGTGACAAAACGGGACCATCAACATCTCGCCTCAAATTGCATTAAAAGTGACATTCGTGTCTTAATTCGTTCGTATTTCAACTTTTAGCAAGTTAATGCTTGGTATGCTTCGGCTGCCGTGAGACGCGCATGCGCAGGTTTGCATTACATCATAAACAGCTGAGGCAGTGCATCTCTTCAAGACAGTGTATCTCGGCGTTACACCTGGTCTTCGAAGCGTGTACCGAGTAAAAAAGGGGCGTATTTTTTGAAGCGTGGTTCGAGGCGTGTGTTGGTGACGTATGTGGTGACGTTCGAAGCCTCGCGTAGCGCCCGCACCACGTGACGGTTCATATAGTGCTTCATATAGTTCGGAGAGTGCATTGCTTTGACAGGTGCTTTGTGATCCGCGGCTGTACCATAGACTGTATTGGCTGTCCCCGTCTGCCTCTGTGTGCGTACGTGTGTGTGCGTACGTGTGTGTGTGCGTGATGTGGAGCAGTCCTGTACTAAGTATAGAGAAACTACTTCATATGAAATACAATTAAAAACGTTTCACTTAAGTAAAACCTAATATATCAAGGCTTCAAGTTATTAGTAATAATACGCTGGATGATACATTTCACAACAGCTGTGTGGCGCAGTCGGCTGCTATCCCTCAAGGCTTCATGGGGCTTCATATTGCCATCACTACCTACTGCTTTTCCAATGTGAAATGCCGAGGCATTGACAAGCGGGTCAGTGGACAGTGCCCTCGACAAAAGTCAATTTACATTGCGCCTATGGGAGCAACAGATTTAAACTGTCTCCTGTTTGCTCATACAAAGTCTGATTTGCACCAAACTTGAAACAGTTTTTCTCAGGTCAGCTGAATAGGAAAAACATTAAATTGAAGCATTAGCATCCCCTATGAACCAAATAATTACGTGTAGAGTGAAAAATTTAATTCTTTCAAAATGTTTGGAATTTTGCACGTTTTGGTTGTTTTGGCATCCCAGTCCATAGTGTTACCGTGGCAATGACACGCACTCCCCATTCTGTGTCAATGTGAAAATAGTTAAATCTCTCACGACCCAGCCAAGTCCATTTCAACCATAGACTGTATATTAATTTCAATATCATGGTTCAATGCAGCGCCACAGGGGGCAGCAGAGAGGAGTGCCGAGTTCTGACCACGCGCAGAAGGAGCCAGAAAAACAACATGGAGGACGAGGTGGATGTTGACATCGAAGGAGATACATTAGACAGCAGCTTTAGGTTCATTTTTCTCTTTATTTAAGCATTTGATAACTAATTTGTCAAGAATATGTCGTTTTGTATGTGGTATAAAGTCTTCCGGTTGAAAGTAGCGTTAGCTGCGGTCTGTTGTACTTCTAAATAAAGACGTGTTTGTGTCTGACAGCTGATTGTGTTTTTAGTGAGAGCGACAGAGGCATGATTCAGGAGCAGTTTTTACAGTCGACATGGAAAAGCAGCGCGGGGATACTGGTAAACGACTGTAAACAGTATTAGCCCCTTTCGTCCATAAAGATAAAGGCTGTATTTCGATGTGTTTCCTCCTCTCTTGAGCAGCCGTGGGAACTGGACAACTCCATCAGCGCAGAAAACAGAGACGTCATAGAGAAGATGCTCCTGGAAGAACAGTATCCTTCATAAACGACATAATGTTGCACAAAATCGGCGTTGTATTTTCAGAACCACTTTTCAGTCAGCGTTTTGGTTGTTTTCCTGGCGCTGAGAAAAGTTGAGCGGGCATCTCCAAAATATAACTTGTACCATGTTGTATGAAAATGGATTATGTATTTATTTGTTTTGAACATATGTCGTCATTTACACGTCATATATGTAGTTCATGGGGAAAAGCAAAAACAATAAAAGTATTAAAATTATTTTCCAAAGGGAGTTAAGATGTTCAGGCTTTAATATTTAACTGTTAACTCCATATAACTGTTATTGGAATATTGGTGTTCTCTGATTAACCAAAGTATGTAATCATCAACTAGTCATTATATTTGAATTACAAGGATTTATAGAAAATGTTCAAATAAACTTTCCTTGCCTTCTGATTCACAAGTGGAGTTAACATTTTCAAGTGTTCTAGTGCAGTAGTTATTATGCAAGTATAGAAAGTTTGTAGACTTAATACTTAAAACTGAATACTTTTCTATAATCTTTCTGCTACAATTCCTTATTGTTTACACAAATCCATAAAAGACTGTTATATTCTGTTATAATCATAGTTTTAAAGAAGTAAATATTACAGTTTGAAACCTTAATTATGCATTGATACTACTTGACCGGTCAGGAAATCCCCAAAACATGTTGGCAGAATGAATCAAACAAACCTAAAGTCAGAAGGTAAGCAGGGAAAAAACAGCAGTTCATTTAGATGTTGTAGAAAGTGTATATTTTTGTGATTTATGGTTATAATTTAACTTTTCATTTTTAGGTCTCCAACCAAAGCATCTTCTGCCTCTTCATCTCGTTGGTCTGCTGAAGAAAAAAAGCTCTTTGAAGAAGGACTGGTATAACTTTAAACCGCTAAAATGTTTTTTGTTTTTGGTTGTTTTGAAAGACAAGTTAGACATCTTTCCAAAGAACCATAAAAACATTTTAACTCAACAAGATATTATGAACCTTTATTGTTAAATATGTATAATCCCACAGGCCCAGTATGGTCGACGTTGGACTAAAATTGCCAAACTGATGGGAAGCCGTAGTGTTCTTCAGGTCAAAAGCTATGCCCGGCAGTACTTAAAGCAAGAGGTAATGTCTTCTGTTAAGGTTAGGGTACGCATTTTACATTATATAAACTGGAGTTAAGTTGAGTCTCTTTTCAATATGAAAAAGTAAAATATCTTCTTTATTTGCATTAGGAGATTATTGCAGTTTTTTTACACAGAGAATTACATTATATTCTCTCTACTGCTGCTGGTTGGCGCAAAATTGGTCAAAAATCAGGACTTATGCTGAAAAAAATGTAGATACATTTGTTGGGACACTTCGTTACCCTGGTAAAATCAATTCAGCAATCTGACTGTCAATACATTTGAACACTAACACAAGTTATTGTTTGTTATTCTGAAGCAAACTACAAAAGCTTTAATTATCTAATGTTAAAATAATGTAATAATGAACATGAAAACTCTTAATTACATTTTCAGGCCAAAACAAAAGTCAAAGCTCCTGTTCCATTGCCACCAATGCATCCTCAGTCTCTTTCCGGTCACCCACACACTCTGGACAACGCTGTGCGCATAGAGAAGCTTTCTGATGACGAAGATGAAGAAATAGACATTACAGATGATGACTGTGAACCTACAAAAGGCAAACCACAGGACGCCCAAGTGAAATCTGAAGCCACAGAAACTCAAATCAATGTTGCAAGAGCAGAGGAAGAAGATTTACACTTCCCAACAGAGGATGAGAGTGAAGATGAACCCAGTTGTAGCCTCATGTCTTCTGAAGGCCCCACAATCACCTCCTCCTCGCTTTTCACTGAGCAGCAAGATGGTATTGAACAAAATGAATCCTTTTCTGACAAAATCTCAGCAACAAAACAAGAAAACCAGTTCTTCCAGACATACGACTCAGGATTGGATCATCAAGATGAATGCAATGAAGAAGGTAAGACCAAAAACAGCTATGAATGACAAACTGTAGTCTTTTGGATCTTATTGACAAAACTAATTTGCAGATTTTGACATCAAAAACAAAAATCACGACAAGCACAATATTTGAAATACAACAGAGAAACAATCCAACCCTTCACAAAATCTGAACCACTGCGCCCCCTGGTGGATCTATATGGACCCACTAAAAAAAACCTCATAGTAATTCACAGTATTCCATTTAAATCTACATCCAAATTTGTAAACGATACAACTGAAAATAACTGTATTTTATAATCTTACTTAAATAGCTTAAAACACAGTTGAAAATTGCCTTGGCAAAGATACAGGTTCGTTGATTGTTGGCTCATGTAATCATCAGCGGCATTTAACCCCACATGCATAGTCCTTTTCACCCTTTGTCTACTCTTACTCACGTTTCTTTTTTATTTATTTATATAAATTTAAACATGTCGTGAACCACTTTTTGAAGCTCTTATAATGGGAAGTAAATTAAGTGTATATTTTGCTGGTGGCTTGAAGTTTTAACTTTCAAAATAATAGTAGTGTTTTTTTTTTTTATAAGAGAGAAATATGGGACCTGAAGATAACCCAGATGAAGATGATGAAGAGGAAGAGTTGAAGCCTCCTGATCAGGAAATTGACATGGACCCAGAGGTCATCACCGAAGATGAAAAACAAGCCATCCCAGAATTCTTTGAGGGACGTCCGTCCAAAACCCCGGAGAGATATTTAAAGATCCGGAACTACATCCTGGATCAGTGGTTTGTTTGTCAATCTTTAGTTTAAAATTTTTGTTTCTTTGAACTGGTCTGAGTATATTAATGTTACAGGTCCAAGAGTAAACCCAAATACCTCAACAAGACGTCCGTCCGACCAGGGCTGAAAAACTGTGGCGACGTGAACTGCATTGGCAGAATCCACACGTACCTGGAGCTTATAGGAGCCATTAACTTTAACTGTGGCAAGTAAACTTTTAACACTCAAATAGAACATTGCATTGAAATCAATGTTTTTCAATCAGGGTTGCAGACACTGCTTTTCATTTTGAATGATTAAAAATGATGAAAAAAATAATAATTAAAGCTTAAGAGTAGAAATAATGTAACTTTTCCCTTCTTTGATACATTATTGGTATTCACATGCATGAATGTGTGGTCAACAACACAGTTATAGAGCATCTTTTTCAAACACAAAATGTAATCAGGGTGGATCACCCAAGTTATAAGTTATAAGATTTGGCAATTAACAATTTGGTTGGATTCTTATTATTTGTTATTTTTATAACAAAGGTGCATTTTGCGATCGTTAGATAAACACTCAAATTGCATCTTAATAATTGCTTTGTCGGTATACAGTGTGCAAAGAATTTTGCACTCAAAATAAAAATATCCTGCTTACCGTTTTTAGAGCAGGCAGTGTATAATCGTCCACGAGTTTTGGACCGGAGCAGGCAAAAGGAGGGCAAGGATGTTCTGGAGGCCTATCAGCTGGCTCAGAGGCTGCAGAGCATGGTGAGCCACAAGACACACAAGTTCTTTGTACATTTGTTTTTTTACATTTGACTGTTGTTCAAACACTGAAGCGGACGAGGAAGCGGCGCGTGAGGGACATTTGGGGAAACTGGTGCGATGCTAAAGACTTGGAAGGACAGACATACGAGGTTTGTTGGCAGATATGACTATTATACAATTTAAATTATGGTTGACTTTTGTGTTTTGGATTTAATCAGCATTTAAGTGCAGAAGAACTCGCAAAGAGGAGAGAGGAGATGAAAAATATGCCCAAACCGTCCAAGATGTCCAGAAAAGGGTTAATCGACCCCTTCAAGCTAATTCCTTGTCAATCATTTGGAGATGATGTTCAGGTTAGTGGCTTTTTAAAATACAATATATTATATTTTATTGTATTACCAAGAGAGAATGATTAAATAATAATAATGACTTAAGTAAATGTAGCATATATAAGCCTTGTGCATTCTGTTTTTATGTATTTATTACAGGAACCATTCCAGATCATCGTCTGTGCAGAGACGCTTCTGATTATGGACTTGGTTAGATTCTTATATTTTTTATACATTTGCTATTCTTGTTTGAAGCACTAATTAGATGTGGTCTTCACAGCATGCGCATGTGTCTCGTGGGGAAGTCATCGGCCTTCTTGGTGGAACTTACAACGAGCAAAATAAAATATTAAAGGTATAAAGAACGTCATGTTGTGACTTAGACTTGAGTCGCTCATTCTTAAAGCCATTTACAATGACTTGACTTGGAGGTTTTGTAAATAGAAATAAGACCTCCGTACTATCACATTGTGGACAAAAATCCTTCCTTTTTAGTTTTATGCTATTTCTAGGCAAAAACAAAATAATTTCCATGGAGAAAATAATATTTCAGATCCTCCCAATGACAACTACATCCTGCAACTTTGATGCAGTGGAACTTGAATTACATATATGAGATGTGTTAAGTGATTTATTATGGTTATTCTTTAGGTGTGTGCGGCTGAACCTTGTAACAGTGTGAGCACAGGCATGCAGTGTGAGATGGACCCTGTTTCTCAGACTTTGGCCTGTGACACTCTGTCGTCTCTGGGGTACAGTGTGGTGGGCTGGTATCATTCTCACCCCTCCTTTCACCCTAACCCCTCTGTACGGGACATACACACGCAGGACCAGTTCCAGGTAAAACATCCTTTGTATGTTGTCCCAACAAGTTAAAAAGTAACATATTTACATGAATCTGATGTTAATCAAGCACCTGTAGGCTTAGTAAGACGAGGCCTGATTAGTACTTGGATGAGGGACTGCAGAGAATACAAAGTGTGACAGTGAGATGGCTGTAGTTCAAAACTATTGTTGTGTCCTTTGTCAAAACATTTCCTGAAATAACCTTGACTGGTTGAAACTAATGGTAGACATGTTTTACTCAATGCAATATTGTCTGTTTTTATGTCATTTTAGAGTTATTTTTCAAGAGGTGGAGCTCCATTTATTGGAATGATTGTGAGTCCATATGACCCTGCAAATCCATCCCCTCACTCACAAACCACCTGTTTGTTGGTCAAAGCAACCGGTAACGAAACAGAATTACAGAGTATGTTACAAACGTTTGTAAAGGGTGTTGGAAAATTTAAAAGTGTATGATTACATGTTTTATGAATTTTGTTTAGAGATTCCCTACAAATTTGACTTTCTCCCATCACAAGACATTCCAGACTGGGATCAGACCACGCGAAGGGCGCATTGGATAATCCAGAAGTATTCCCTTACACCAGGGTAAGTGTTCTGATGGTCACTACTCATCCTACCTCAAATGTACACAGCTATTGTGAATATTTAGCATAGGTTTTGAGCTGTATGTGCTTTTTATGACTGATTTGAGTGCAGATTATACATATAGATATTCATGTCTTTTCCAGAAGTGTGCAAATGAATCGATTTTTCAGGAGAGACTCACATCTTACCTGCCTCGAGAAGGTGTGTTGAAATTAGTGGAACCTAATAGCTTGATTTATTCACATTTTCCCATTGCCCTGTGACATTGTGTCTTTGTAGATGCTGTCCTCTTTGGCAAAGTACCTGGAACCCCTGCCAGATGAGGAAGGAGACCATTTTCTTGTTCAGATCCAGGCACTTTTCCAATCAGAATTCATTCCAAATCAACGAGCATTTGACCAAAACACAGGGGAAACTTGGAATACCGCAACCGAACCATTGGACTCTGATATTGACCAAATGTCCCAAACTGGAGATGCCAGTCAGGAGCCTAAACCGGATCACACTGAAGCAGAAGAGAAGGTAGTGCTACATTTGGGCTCTGTGCTGCCCACTGAACATGACTATTTATTGTGATTATTTTTATTTTATTCCATTTTAGCATGTGCATTTATAACCAGAGAGTTGTATTACTAGTATTATTCAAATTCAGGCTGACGTTGAGTACAATGTTAGTGTTTTAGACAAGTTTTGTTTTTATTGGCTATTAAAAATTATCAATAAAAATATTTTCTATGTAATTCTGCATTGCGTGTGTGTGTCCGTTGAAATGGTAACAAAAAAAGTACTAAAGACAAGAAAGAATTTACCCAATCAGAAGGCGGAACTATTAGTGCAGAAATGTTTCCGGAGGGATCGCTTCAGAGGTTGGACATAAAACTATCCGAAGAAATCAAACATCACCTGTAAATACGGGTGTTTAACATGGCGAATGTAGAGGCTTTTATTCGGTCAGTGATTTCCCACGTCTTATAAAGGACAAAGCGTGAGATAGCGGAGTTATTGCGTGAGGCCAAAGTCGGAGTGACAGTGACAGCTGATGGTGTCACACACTGCTGATGGTGTGAAACCCGACGCAACGCATGATCCGGTCTGAAAGCACCACCAGACACTGCTGATGGTGTGTAGACACTTGTCAATGTGCAACTATACACTCGCGTCCTCTTAAACTAATACATAAAACTCACGTCCTCTTAAACGTAAGTAAAACTTAATAATGGCTTTGCTTCTTGGACATTTCTTTAAGAGAAATTGCAGCATTATGTCTGTCTCTCTGAAGCGAAACTGTCAGATCTCCGTTCCTCCTTTACCGAGACAACCTAGTCTTGTCAGGTGTCAAAGGCTGAACGTGACAAGACCCGGACCTCTCCTACTTTGTAAAAATGGCAGATATATTTCTCTCAAGTCTGTTGTCAAACGCAATTCTCCCTGGGAATCTCCTGGAGTCTTTACGCGGTGTGGACAGCTCCATACTTCGGCTCCATGTCGTGCACTCCCTGCCCCCCTGGTGTGGATGGTGCTCAAGCCCCTGCAGAAACTTCTGGCCATTATACTGGGAAGGTAACACACTTACTGAGCACGCAGTACAGTTGCAGTTCTATTCTGTGCTTACTTTGGATTATTATTTGTTTTACTATTTTAGTTGTTTTAATCTGGCACCAGAGTTTAGCCAAATATTTTCATATTGCGAGCTTTCTTTATCATTTTGCAACCAAACAAACTCATGAGTGAGATTTCTGCTGGTTTATTACTCTGCTCTGACCTGTAGATCTGGAGGCCCCCTGCTCAGAAAGTCCAGGGGGCGACCTTTCTCAACTAGCCCAAACAATGATGGCGATACAATAATATTCATAAGCACTTTGACAATAGTGGGGGTGTTGTTTAGTCGGTATACCTTATTCTTAAGCCATAAAAATTGAATTACGTAATAAATAGTTCTATAGTTCTTGTTCTCAGAACAATAAACACATGCATGTTTATCTTTCTTTTTGCTTTTCTGTCAGATAAAGATGTGAAAGAGGATCTCACTCAGCCAATCAGCTCTCAGCCCAAAGCATCAAGTAGTGATTTACAAGTGCAAGTGATAAAAATAATCTGGAAAATATGAAGACCGCATGTTATGTTGTCTGATCTCTTTCTGCTGGGTCAAACAACATGTATGTAGTCCTGCACTATTCCACAACATGAACAATCCAACTGTTTGTGCAGGAGCCTCAGAAAATGGTGGGGGGCACTGCCAGACAACCGCAGACAGCTCCTGCGTGAGTGGATGTGGTACAGACGCTGGAAGCTGGGCGCTGGTGCTGGTGTGATGCTGCTGATCGTAGCCATACTTCTCCTCACACACCTTGACGAGTCTCCGCTGACCGGACGGACACGCCTGCTTGTGTTCAGCAAGGACAACTACATGGAGCTAGCTGCTCTTATGTCCGAGGAGGTGAGAGATGAGATGACATATAGTTTTTTTTTTCCTACTGGCATTGAGTTTGGTGAAAGAAAATCGAGCGCTTATCTCTCTATTCAATTACGACTGGATTTTACTCTATTTTTCATGTATTTTTGTTTAGCCAATTGTTGCAATAAAAACTTCAAACACCTGTAAATGTGAAAGATTTACAACAAAAAATAGTTACAGTGGGGCAAAAAAGTATTTAGTCAGCCACCGATTGTGGAAGTTCTCCCACTTAAAATAATGACAGAGGTCTGTAATTTTCATCATAGGTACAGTTCAACTGTGAGAGACAGAATGTGAAAAAAAAATACAGGAATTCACATTGTAGGATTTTTAAAGAATTTATTTGTAAATTATGGTGGAAAATAAGTATTTGGTCACTTCAAACAAGGAAGATCTATGGCTCTCACAGACCTGTAACTTCTTCTTTAAGAAGTTCTTCTGTCCTCCACTCGTTACCTGTATTAATGGCACCTGTTTGAACTCGTTATCTGTATAAAAGACACCTGTCCACAGCCTCAAACAGTCAGACTCCAAACTCCACTATGGCTAAGACCAAAGAGCTGTCGAAGAACACCAGGAAAAGAATTGTAGACCTGCACCAGACTGGGAAGAGTGAATCTACAATAGGCAAGCAGCTTGGTGTGAAAAAATCAACTGTGGAAGCAATTATCAGAAAATGGAAGACATACAAGACCACTGATAATCTCCCTCGATCGCAAGATCTCATCCCGTGGGGTCAAAATGATCATTAGAACGGTAATTAAAAATCCCAGAACCACACGGGGGGACCTGGTGAATGACCTGCAGAGAGCTGCGACCAAAGTAACAAAGGTTACCATCAGTAACACACTACGACGACAGGGAATCAAATCCTGCAGTTCCAGACGTGTCCCCCTGCTGAAGCCAGTGCATGTTCAGGCCCGTCTGAAGTTTGCCAGAGAGCACATGGATGATACAGCAGAGGATTGGGAGAATGTCATGTGGTCGGATGAAACCAAAGTAGAACTGTTTGGTATAAACTCAACTCGTCGTGTTTGGAGGAAGAAGAATACTGAGTTGCATCCCAAGAACACCATACCTACTGTGAAGCATGGGGGTGGAAACGTCATGCTTTGGGGCTGTTTTTCTGCTAAGGGGACAGGACAACTGATCCATGTTAAGGAAAGAATGAATGGGGCCATGTATCGTGAGATTTTGAGCCAAAACCTCCTTCCATCAGTGAGAGCTTTGAAGATGAAACGTGGCTGGGTAATGATCCCAAACACATCGCCCGGGCAACGAAGGAGTGGCTCCATAAGAAGCATTTGAAAGTCCTGGAGTGGCCTTGCCAGTCTCCAGACCTCAACCCCGTTGAAAATCTGTGGAGGGAGTTGAAAGTCCGTGTTCACTGCTCTCGAGAAGATCTGCATGGAGGAATGGACCAAAATACCAGCTACTGTGTGTGAAAACCTGGTAAAGACCTATAGTAATTGTTTGACCTCTGTTATTGCCAACAAAGGTTATATTGCAAAGTATTGAGCTGTCTCTCACAGTTGAAGTGTACCTATGATGAAAATGACAGACCTCTGTCATTATTTTAAGTGGGAGAACTTGCACAATTGGTGGCTGACTAAATACTTTTTGCCCCACTGTATATCAATCATTCTAGGATGTCTTTATGCAGATGTGCTCTGCCTAAAGACATTTTCTTCTTTATAGGTGCCTAAATCTTGTTTGTTGATACCTACATTATTGGGTTAGACTTAGCAGGAGGCAACAGTCCATCTGGTCTAGAACCTTCCGCCATTAGAACAGTTTCTTCTCCTCTACAGTCGCACTCCTGAAAAGTGTCACTTTATACTTCTGTAACCTTATAAATTATACTTCTCAATACTTCTTGATATTCTGCACGGTTTGTCTATTGTGTATATTTATATAAAAGAATCTTATTTACATTGTTATGTTTACTTTTATATATATGTTGTCATTTTTTTGTCTAACTTTTGTATAACTTGCTTGCACCATATACCAAAGCAATTTCCTAGTTAGTGACTTCCTGTTAAAATGGAAATAATAATAATTCTGATTGTGTAATAGATCTAATCCTGTACATCTTCCTATAATCATGTTGCACAAATTAAGCAGATTTTTTGTTTGATCTTTCTCAGTGCAGAGATTGTTTCCATCTCATTGGCGTAAATGAATCATCAAAGGCTAAAACTACAGGACCGCTAAAATTAAACTTTAGAACATTTTGAAAGTTTTTAGAGGAATAAGGTTGGTAGAGTAAGCTGTTATTATCAAATTGAGGATGAATATCAGGACCTGGGTTTTCATATCTTCTTTATATGAATGTACTTTATTGGCAGTACATGGAGGAGTTTGCAGAGCTGATGCTGCCGGTCACTGACCCTCGGCAGCAGGTGGTGGAGCGACTCATTCAGCTCCTGGCTAAAAGGAACAAGGACATCCCTGAAGTGACGGAGGTGGTCTGGACGGTCCATGTTGTGCAGGACCCCAAAGTCAATGCTTTTGTCCTCCCGGTAAGTACAACAGAGAAGCACTGACGCCACACAGGCTTTGCATAATCCGCTCACAGTGAGTTCTGCTCTGTGTGCAGAACGGGAAGGTGTTCGTCTTCACGGGAATGTTGGATGCAGTCGCAGATGTTCACCAGCTCACCATTGTTTTGGGACACGAGATGGCCCATGCTTTACTGGGACACTCGGTAAGTCCAAAGTTGAAATACAAATTGTATATAAACTCTTTAAACACAGAATTTTCAAACATTATTTTTGCAGTAGTGTACTTACTTTATTGTTCATAAATGTGTCCTTTACATTTGTCCTTTGTATTTGATCCATACTTCCAATGCCACAATGCTACCTGACCCATGGCCACTATAGTACAGATGCACCGGATTTTAGCTATGGTGCATGTTTTGGGTGGTGGGGGAAACCAGAGCAGCTAGTTTGTGTTTCTCACCACACAGGGAGAAACTGGCAATCTCTGCACAAATCGAACCTACAACTTCCTTCCTGTTCTCTGGTTTCCCTCACCACCAAAAACATGTGGTTTCCCACACCACCATCTCTGCGTGGAGTGAGAGACAAATGCCCAATGGGGCCCGGTATCACCTGAAAGAGAGAAAGAGATTCTGAATCTTAGCGAGACATTATTGGGAAAGTAAAGGTCAGCGATTAAATCAATAGATTAATAGTACTGTTTCTGTCATTGTCAGTCTTGCTAATAATTTTTTGTTTACGTCTCATGCATTTGAGTGGTTAGGGTGAAGCAAAGTCCAGCTATATATTCTAAGGCTGTAAAAACCCCTCACTACACACTTTATACACTTTTTGTAACCTTCTGAACTCACTGAAGTTTGATGTCTTTAATTATTGTACAAATTATTAAATAAGAAAACCTTGCATCCATCTATCCATCCATTCATCCATTTTCTTCTCCTTGATCCATTTCTGGGTCTGGGGGGTTGCAGTCAGAGCTGCACCCAGTACAGAGCTCCAGCCCCTCACTGATCCTCCTGCTCTAATTTGAGCTGCCTTGATCTTTTGGTGGGGGCTTGAGGCAAAGTGGGGTTAAGTGTCTTGCTCAAGGACACAACAACATCAGACATCAGTGGGAGTTGTAAAGTAGTCTTGTGATGGACTTTAACCCAAGACCTTCCGGCCCAAAGGCCAATGCTCTACCAATTGAGCCACTGTCAGCCACAATTTACATTTCCGTGGTCACACGGTCGTTGGAATTGAATTCACCCTCCCACCTTAAACTATAGTTATAGAAGACATTTTCAAATAGATACATTATTATGAACAATATGCAAAGTACCTGCTCTCTAAACTGTGAATATCAAGTGTGTTTTTGCCTGTCACAGCATGAGGTGGTATTAGTTGCAGTGCTGTTGCATCAGCCGGAGCTCAAGTCTCTCACATTACCCTCTAAAGACACACTTACAGTAATTCTTTTATGGTTGTCTGAGTGGCCCTATAGCAGTTAAATATGCTGGGACAACTGTTTTTAATCTGGCCAAAAAACATTTTGTGTTTGGGTATTGTGGGTATTTCCAGACTTTCAAATCCTCAGAGGAAATACTTGAAGGAGATTTTAATTAGACGAAGCGAATGATCATCAATGGGCTCATTGTTACTCCGTAGGTGTGCTCTATCGGATTGCCTGTTAAAACCACAAAATCTGCTACAGCAAATATCTTGGACTGAAATAGATGGGAACAATCAATATGCTCCACACCTACCCAAAACTGTTTTCTTTTTCAATTTCATTTCTTTTGTAACAGTCTTTTGTTATTGACCTTTTCTGTGTTTTTTTTTTTTTTTTTTAACGTTGCACTTCTTTCTTTCCGTGCTAAGGCAGAACAAGCCAGTTTGTCTCATGTGGTGGACCTCCTGTCTATGATTCTGCTGACTGCCATATGGGCCATTTGTCCCAAAGATAGTCTTGCACTGCTGGGGCACTGGGCACAGGAGAAACTCACACAGGTAAAGAATATAAACTGCAAAAATGACAAAAACATTGAAAAAATGCTCGATCAAAAAAGACACAAATCTGACTTTCTTAAAATATAATCTTTCTAATGAAACATGCTACAAAAGAGGATTTTTTTTAAAACTTCAAATAATGAAATACAAAGCTTGAAATACATGTATTGTCAAGTTTACTTATCCACAATTCAAGCACATTTTGTCTTGACTGTTAGAGATACTTATTGATTTGTATACCTTTAAATGTATATTGTTTCACCAGTTGATGTTCAGTCGTCCTTACAGTAGAAAACTGGAAGCAGAGGCTGATGAAGTGGGGCTTCAGTTGGCTGCTAAGGTACACTTGACTGTGTTCTCCCTTATAAACACTGGGGGGCACACTTGCCATAGTAAAAGTCATAGAAGCGGTTAGACTGCTGTCCTGATTGTTGTTGGTGCAGGCGTGTGCAGATGTGCGGGCCGGCCCTGTGTTCTGGCAACAGATGGAGATAAGGGACCAGCTGGAAGGAGAGCTGGAGCTGCCCGAGTGGCTCTCCACACACCCGTCCCACCAGAACCGATACACCCAACTGGACCGCCTCATTCCTCAGGTACAAGACAATATCCAAGCACTTAGTCTTTTTATAGATGTATTTCTGATGTTTTGGCATTTAATCTACATCTGGGTGTTTTATCTGTGTTCTGGGACATAAGGTAAAATCATATTTGGCCTTATCTCCTCAAAATGAGAATGCAGATTCATAATTACATGACATGATGGACATTTAATGAGGAGCAGAGTTGCTACATGAACTCCTGAATCCAGAAGTCCCACACTGTTTTGCATATTTTGATTATATTTATTTGGTCAGTTTCTTCTCAATGTCTGCAAAAAAATCTCTGTTGCCTTCTGAGGTTTAGGTTTAACATTTCATATTTTGGTTCTTGAACATCAATCAGGAAGCAGAATTTCAATCGCATGACTCTCTTGGGGTGCCTGTTTCTTCAATCCAGCTGGTTTGATCATTTTGAGCTGGACTTACATCAGTTAGCAGAGCTGGAGGAAGTGTGTGTTAACATGCCGGGCAAGACACTGGCAACTTTAGATTAACTATTTTTATACGTTTACTACAAATACAAAGTTGCTCTTGCGTACATTAACTATATGTAACTTTATGTTTTAAAGTTTTTCACAATTGTACAATCAGAGAAAAAGTGCTATGTCATATATATAAAATCCCAAGTAGAACCTGCAATAAAATTTGAGAAAAAGGACAAACTTTCAGCCAAATGAGCATCAGAAGAAATGCAAAAAAGAAGGCAGCACGGCAAACAAGGTCAACTAAGTAAAAAGCAACACAACCTCAAATCAGAAATGTCTGACCACTGCAAAAGAGAAAATCCTCTATTGGACAGGGGCAATGCAAAAATAGTAGGAACAGAAGAACCCAAATACAAAAGATTGATACAAGAGGCCATTGAGATCAGGAAGCGGTGCAAGGACCATCAACAGAGACAAAGGGCCTTTACCTTGGCTCATGCTTGGGACTCACTTTTCCAGAGACCACAGAGCAGTGGGGCCATCTACAGCCCAAACATGTGGTATTTAAGCAGTAGTAGCTTCTTTACACTTTTGTCTTTTTAAAAGGACCTTATAAGCCTGCGCACATTCACATACACAAAATGGTCGTGTTTGTCGTAACGAACCGCGTTGCAGCTCAGCATGTGTTTAAAAGTAGGCCTTGAAGAGAGTGGGCCTGGCACCTGCACTGAAGCAGGAGTGTAGCCCCCGGAACTGTTGGAAGGATCTTAATGGAACTAATGAAGCATCTGGAGAGACTTGCTTGCACCTGCAGACACGGGGAATGGGCACAAAGGAAGCAGACACTGGGTAGGAAGGAAAAAGAAGATGCTCAGTTTGGGGATTTTTCACACTGCGCTGGGGCTCATATGCCTGAATTAATGAATTTACCTCAAGGCTTTCAAGTTGGGACCAGAGAATAAGCAGCTCGATGTTAGAAGTTCTGCTCTTGCTGTAGTCAGGAAAATCAATGGTGTCTTTAGGCAATAAGGAAATGAAGATGCAGTTAAAACGTTCAAGGACAGGGCAACCTCCGCGCCATTATTGAGAGAAGGAGGGATCGCAGGTGAAATTTGATCTGAAGTAATATTACCAATTAATTTGGAGTGATACATTGAATATACTTGGAATAATACATCCACTGGGACTTATGTAAAGGCTTCCTTACAAACATTAGCCAGCCGCACGTTATATAGCAGCTAAACGAGTTAATTCTTTATAACCAGTAGCAGCACAGTAGCAGAGAAGCTGAAGGATGGATCAAATGCAGAGGACAATTTTACCTATGGGGACAATAAAATACATCTTACAATACCTACAGAATGAGGTAATATAACGTGTACTAGTATTTGATGCATTTTTTACTGAATAGTGCGTATGCATTACTGTGTAATGTGGTACTTTTTATGAGAAACCCTTATTTTTTAGAAAGTGTGAAAAACATGATTGTACACTATACATGCACTGCAAAATAATGACAAAAGGTAAACGTGTTGAATATGGCAATGTCTATTCAGATTTATATTTATTTTATTTTGAAATAATTTGTCAATGGATCAAGCTGCTGAGATGTTGCTTTTCCATTTATTGCTGCGACACAGTCAGGAGTCAAAGAAGGCAAAAAACAACTTATTTCAATTGTATTATTTTTTCTTGTGTACTTATGTCACTAAGTGACCGTCCCAAAAGAGTTTTTCCTCAAAAATATATTTCAGAGGCCATTTTAACCTTCAGCCGGACTGGTCGTGTTGTGGCGCTGTCAGACGCAGGGATCATAAAAGACGAGCAGATGGGCTGATTGTTCATCAGGTGCTCTGTGGGGGACTGTTTTACGTCCAGTGCGAGCTGCAGTGACCTGTACAGTACTGCAGGTGTGCGGAGCAGGTTGTAGCCACAGGCAGTGTCTTCAAAATCCACAGAAACATCCTCCCATCTCCTGACAGCACAGCTATAACTCCACACAAACCGAGTAAACAGAGAGAATGATGCAAGCTGTTGTGTTTTAACCTGGGAGGATAAGGTGACAGCTTCTTGTGAGGGCACTCCACCTCCGCAATTGGAGAAAAGCCCATTAAGTCCACTTGTAGCTCGAAAGTGAGAGTGCGCTGAGCAGGAGAAGCAAAGTGCACTGATGGAGGTGCTGTGGCCTTGTGTGGTAAAGCGAGTGCAGGTGTAATAAGCAGGGTTGATCATGGAACATTAGAAAGTCTGATTACGGGTGCTTCACTCCTCTCAACACCCACGGCTTTTAAATGTCGTCAAGGAAAAGTATCTTAAGAATCACACAACATGATCACTACAGTAAATAAATCATAAAGCTGGTTATGTGTTTGGTTTGTAAATGAAATACAAGTAGTTGTTATTTTGAATGATGTTAAATGGGTAATCTATTTTTCTACCATTATGTTTACAACAGTAGTGTATATACTGGATCACGGGGGCAGAGTGAGCCCTGGGGAGGACTCGGACTCTTTGCTGTAAATTAAACATCCTTCACAAGAATGCGAGACTTCAGACTTGATGATGACACTGCTCCTGACAGACTGGGAAAAATGAAGTGCACTTTTAATGCCAAAGCATAAGGTTTTGTTTACCTTGTTTGTCTCTCCTTGGCAAACTATTATTGAATTTCTGATGATGATGAAGACTTGAGCTTTCCTGGTTTGTCTTTCAAAGTGCTACACATGTATTTTGATCAAATGAAAACCATACATCCATGAATGTCTGTTATTTTTAATGTAATATCATACCATCAGCCAGCCCAGGGACTACAGGTGGAAATAAGCTCTTGAGCTATGACCTGGTACAATGCATCTCTCCCGTTTATTGTACACTGTAAATAAACTAAACTACACCAAAGTTACTATTCATTCACTCCATAAACAGTACATTGGTGGTGGTCTACTACTACTGTAGCCATAGCCACCCTGGGAAAGACGGACACCCGGTCTGTGACGTCAGTCCGTCCGTCAATTACTCAAATCACTCACTGCATTCACACTGCTGCATGTTTTTGCTCATCACAGGTTTGAACCCATGACCTTCTTTCTGTGAGGCCACTGTTTATTTTCACTCCATAAATGTTCTCTGCATGTTTTATCTGCTCTCTTTCTGTCTCTCTAGGCTCTCAAAGTGAGAGAAAGCTGTGTGTGTCCTCGTCTACCTGAAGAAGACCCTCGGATAGCCTTCTCCAAAAGTGTTCACCTTTTGCTGAATAATGCCAAAGATCAAACCAAAGTTCAATCCGGCACAAAACCAAATCCCAGGACCCACAGTCCGGTCTCCTCTCTCCCCACCGCTGCCATCATGTCTCTGACTCCTCTATTGTCAGTTACTTCTGATCAGGAAAAATAGGCGGCAGAGAAGACAACCTCATATTTCGTGCTCACTGCTGAGATGGACGAAGCAGAGAGTTGAAAGCTCAAAATATTGCACTGGTCGACTGTTTCCTCCTAGACTGTATACTGAACCACAAGGAATACTGTTGCTAATATGAACTTCAGCCCTCATATTTTCTGCCATGAACCTGTGAGATCTACCGTGAGATCGATCCCACATCCTGAAGTGAACTGCATCCTGGGTTTGAGTCAAAACTCCGAACATTTGTCAAAGCAGTTTACTGAAAGAAGCTTCAAGTTCTTCAGTGTTAATATGCAGAATGTCTATTTATAGTAGGAATACTGACAATGTAAAACACATATGGTCTTTATCAGGAGTGGTATAATGCCACATATTAAGCTTAAAGATGTTTTAATTTTAAAAACGGAGAGAGGGGTCATCAGCTTATCAACATCAAGCTTTCCTTTTGTTTTAAAATGTAATTTGTTAATGGAAGCACGGATAGGTGGCTGGGCTTACATAGTCCTAAAGTGGTTCAAAAATTAAATACAAGAATTACAATACTTTGTGTTGGCAGCTTCAATGTCCAAGGCCACAAGAATGTGATGCAGAGCTGACTACAAAGATACCATATTAATGAGTGGGAAATGCTGAATTAATTAGTAACGTTCCATACATTGCAATATTAATGTGTGCATTATTCATGGACTTGTGCTAACAGGGGAGAGCAGGCGTTTCTTTGTTACTGCACGAGGCCGTCTTGTCCATTACCGACGGAGGACTCCATCTATATTCTCATGATTCACCCAGCATATTGCACTTTACACATACTTAGTCCATTTATGCTGATTTGTGGGTTTTAAAAGCGTCCTTTGAAGAGGGGAATACCAAAAGCAAAAGATCAGATCACTCATGAAAGATTTCATTTTATTAGTCTTATTTGGCAAATGTAATAGGAAAAAGTGAAAGTCTAGCATGAACTACCAAAGTCATCATACATATATTGCTCAGAAACTACAGAACTTTGTATTAGCTTTTGTTTGGTTTCCCGCAATATCCGTTGCACAAGTCTTTCGAAGATTGATTAAAAAATAAAAATCAGAAGAATGAGCCATATTCAGTTTTGGTTGTTGGTTCATTGGGAGTATAATGTATTTTATGGTTATAATCTTATGCCTAATCATTTAATGCTGACCAATAGTTCAACTTGTGTCACTTGTTAAACTATTTTTTAAAAACCTTGAAATTGGACAGTTAACATCACCACAGTTGTTAAAGGAGAACTTTATTTAAAAAATATAGTAATAGAATAGTCTTGGTTCTTTATTTTATGTTTTTCTTCTGTGCTACTGCCAAGAGAAAGTAACTTATTACCGTTGAAAAAATAGGTTGCCAAGAAGATAAAACGATTGTAATGGAACTAGGGCTGCGCATGCCGATTAATACTGAGGATTACAGACGCAGATGTAGCTTGTGTAAGGAAGAATGAAAAGGAATTTGCATTACATCATTTAGGAGCCAGTCACTGATGCTAGACTCCAGAGAAATATGTGCTACTTAGTCAGTCAGAGCTGCATACAAGTTTTAGGATTTTTCACAAGACTAAACCAAGACGGTCGTATTCAAATCAAAGGGAATCCCATGTCGTTTACCTAAAGCCTGCCTATTGCTGCCAGCTGTCACAACATGTTTCACACCTTTTCATTTTGGCACATTGTAACAGAATAAACTACACAACATAGAGACATTTTCCCCAAAGTGTGGATAAAAATGAACAAGCGTAGGTCTGATTATTTTTCGACAACCAAATTACTGTGTTATCTTCAAACTCCAACAGGCATTTCCAAAACACACAATCTTCTGTTCAATTGCCAGCCTACTGTTTTAGGTAAATGTCAACTTAGAATGAAGAGAGCTGTGGTGATGAATCTACTTGAAAGCTATACTTTTTACATAAATTCCATACATCCTATTCAGGCAATATACGTTCAAAGGTTCTGTAGCTTAAGTCGTTCTGTAGCTTAGGTCCTGGATCTACAGCCCGCCGTCCGTGTGGAGTGGATCCTCACTTTTCTCCCACTAGGTTCCTCTCTTTTCTCCCACTAGGTTTTTCCTTTGCCGACCACTAACAGTGTTAGTGGTCTAACAAAAAGGACTGTGGTGATCGTGGTGACTAGTAGTCGTAGTATTTTTATTTGAGCAGTTTTACCATGTATTTTATAGATTTCTTTACATGCACATATAATTCAAGAAGAAAGAAAAATCAAAAGGAGAAGGCAGAAGCAAAAAGCTTTTAACTGTCTTCCCCATTATCAATAATTCATTTAAGCGGCTGCAAAAGGATTTAAATTTTCGCATGACATGCCTGATTTTTAGCATCATATTTATTGATCCAAAAAAAAACAGCAATACTTATCAATTTATGTTCCACTGGTATATCCCAGTATTATATGTAATCTTCACTGTTTTTATAACGTGTGGTGCATTGAGAGCTGAAGTCAGCCTCCTCTGTGTCTGGAACCTATTCTATGTAGTGCTTTAAAAAGACAAGGCTTTATGGACCTATTGGAGGAAACAGATCCACACCATGTCTACCCTCATTCTCAATGGTCAGTGCAGCTGGAGCGATGACACAATAGGAACTGCCAAACCAGATCATTTGGTGAGTACAGGTTCTTATATAGAGCACATACAGCTGAAAACAGTAAGGAGACAAAATGTATTTATTTAACTTGTAGACTGTAACATGGCATTAAAATATGTTACAGTTACATTTCATAAGTCCTTTGTAAAGTCCTCCAAGTTAACTATGGTTGTGATTTAGGGCTGAGCTTAAATTAAATTGAAATGAATTGAAATATAAAGACAGCAAATGATATGACAAATCTCCAGTAGTGTTAAGTGATGCTGGCCTGAGAAAGTAATCAGTTTTATATAGCACTTTTTTGGACACTCAAAGACGCTTCACATGTGTAATTATTCATTCTCTCCAAACACGGTGGTGATAAACTACTACTGTAGCCACAGCTGCCCTGGGGCACATTGACAGAAGCGAGGCAACCAGTATGTGCCACCGGCCCCTCCGACCACCACCAACCATTCACACACACCAGTCATTCTAGGCAATGGGGGTGAAGTGTCTTGCCTAAGGACACAACGACAGTTTGTGGCATCAGGTGTTCCCAGAGGTTAAGTGTCTTGCTGTCAACGACAGCAGACAGTGGGAGTTGATGGTGAAAGTCGGGCTCGAACCCACGACCCTCTGGCTCAAAGGCCAATGCTCTACCAACTGAGCTACTGTCGCCCAAAGTAAGAGGTATTCCATCACTATGGATTATCAACGTTGATTTGACAGGACTGCCTTTTACATTCTAGGGAATGCCATATTATCAGGTAGCAAATCCCCCAGCAGAAAAGTTACATATTAAACCTTTAAATTATACATGATGTCCTGTCACTCTCTTTTCAAATTCACCATTTGTCTCCTGGGTCACATCTTCACAGCAGCCTGAGGTAATGTGAAAGATGCTGTATCCAAATAATGCTGCAACAGATAAAGGCATGGAGAAAGAAAAACCACTTTTAGTGACAAACAAAATATGAGCACATACAGTGTATCATGTGTTTACGGTAGAAAGAAAACAGCATCAGAATGGCTCATGCAAACAGCAACAGGAACAATTATCAAAAAAATTCGTGTTTTTCCTTAAATCACAAAGTCTTCAGTTATAAAGCATTCTTCAGATTCAGATTCATTTATTTGCCATTTGCAGTAAAACCACATTGGAAAAACTGTGCAAGACTACCCCGGTGTGCACCAGACAGAGAAGACGACACACACCAGAGCTCTTGCCACGGCGCCATCTTTACGGCGCCATGCATATTTGATACAAATATGCAACAGATTATTACTAACATTGACTCACAGACAATCCCAGTCATAGATCCATCCACACACACATTCACATACTCTCACACACGCAGGAAAAAAAGGATCAGAGAGTGCAAACACTGGGAACAACCAGAGGCTCCAGACCCCCACCTGGTCCAACCACCGCTCCCAGTGCAGAGGGTTCCTCCAAAGGGAACACTGGAGATACTGAGAACTATAGGAGGTAAACTATGGAAATCTGCAACAGTAAGAACAATACTATAATAATAAATACAAATAAAATGAATCAAACTAGAGTAAATAAAGTAACAGTAAAAAAGGTACACATACATACATTGTGTTCCATTATTCTTCACCATTATCTTCTCCATTTCTGATTTCCTCCTCTGTCTAATTGGTTTATCAATGTTTGGATACAAATTCACATGAATATTTTCTCTCCTTCCACAATGGAATCTAAGAACAGTCACTGGCCCTTTTCTTTATTTCACAGGCTCAACGTACTTTCAAAATCACTTCTATTTAAAGCCATGTCCGGGGGTATTTACTGTTTAACTTAAATTACTAAGTTACTTGAATGGAGTGATGGAGCCTTTTGTGGATTTGATTGCTTTCTTCTAACAATGGTTTGAGAGTTTCATCGAAAAAAAAAAACAAAGACAAAAATGGAAAGTCGACAAAGTGGAACCAAGGGATTTGACAGAAAAGGGAGACTTAAAGAACACTCCTCGGGTGCTTTTTATTCAAAGATTGATAAAATGCCATTGTCCATGTCTGTATTACTTTTCAACTGCCTTGGGCAAAGAAAGTGACTCAGAAACGCAACGTCTACTTTGTGTCTGAGATTTCACCTTTAAGACTTGATTGTTTTGTGTTTGTTTATTGTGACGCCCACTGGAGACTCCACAGTGCCGCTGAGACCTCTGTCTGAGAGCTGCAGGTATTCTGAGTATGACGAGCTGAGGAGAAGTGAAGAAGGTGCTTAAAAGAGGCAGCCCTCCCACAACTAAAGAAAAGTCGACTCCAAGGTACGTGACGAACAGGATCTGCTGAATCCCCCAAACAAAACACTCCCACAGCGCATCAGGGCAGCGACGGAGCAGCCGGCGCATCTGCTGTGTAG